CGGGTTCTTTCCATTCTCATTCATGGGGCTGTGATCAATTTGCCCCCTTCTTATTTGTTTTTAAGAGATCCTTTCTTACCTTTTCACTAGCTGCAGTAGCATCTTCAAGATCTGAAACTCTATCTTCAGTTTCATTTAAATGATTTTGCAAGTTTGTGATTGAGATTTTAATTTCCTCTATATCTCTTTGACTCTGCTTCATGTGATCTGTTTCTTTCCTGTACTGAGCATTCTGATATTTGTTTTTTAATAAAATAGAATAAAATGAACAAAGAAAAAAACTGAAATCATCTTTTTGGAGTCCTGGCTGCCATATGTTGCATGTAGTGGCATCCATCATTTCATTTTGACCACGAAAACTGTTATTCTTTTTTTCTGTTGCTTTGTAACCTGTTATTCTTGTTTACTCTCCCTTCATTCTCCTTATTTTTATGCCTTTAGTGCTCCAGAAAGATGGAGTTTTTCATTGTTAATGTTGTAAGTTACTATCTATGGCAAATCTCTTTAAAAAGCTCCCTCCAAAGAACGAAGAATTGATAGTGCGCAAGGCAGATGTGAGCTCTATCTCATCCATGTCATGTTTTCTGACTGGGAGCCCATTGTCAACAGAATCTTGTAGATCAGCGTGTACTTGCAGTGACTATGGCCAAGGCTGAGTTGTTCCTCTTCTATCAATTATGTAAGAAGATGGAGTGGTCTTACAAAACTAAGAGGGAAGGAACTACAGAAGCTGAGTAATCTCATCTGACAGAATTCACCCAACATGAGTGAATCCGTGTGCTGTAAAAAATATTCTTGGGAGTAGAAAAACTGGTAAATTAGGCTGTTTTCTTGATAATTTTTCATTTCGTAAGTTTAAAACATGAATGAAAATTTCCTGTGAAATTTCCTGTGAAAATTTCCTGTGAAAGCAGAGAAAACAATAACAACATGAGTGTGGGGAGTACAGAAGGTGACAAGAAGGGGAAGTGATTTTGTTGGAAGTTATTTGTTATGAAAGGCTCTATGAAATTTGTGACTAGACAGCTTTTAATGAATGATCATGCATCCTTTATGTGTCCCATGGAAGTTCTGGGCTCAAGAAACCACGTGGATAAAACTCTGTAGAAGTGGTTTGTTTTGATGGATTTAAGTATGTTTGGAGTAAAGGTTACCATTGAGGAAAGTGGAGGTAGAGGAAATTTAATGCAGGTGGCTCCATGGGGTTTCTGATAAGAATAATCTTTGGCCTTACGATAACACAGATTGAGTTTTTTAAATTGATATTCCACATCATATGAAATCAATGGAGGACAAAGTCTGGGTGTGTAGGACTCTTTGCCAAGTGACAAGCTGGACAGGGCACTTATCTGTTCCAGTTCTGGCTCCACCTCCTTTTCCAGTGCATAAATAGTCCAGGCTGTTCTCACTGAATCACAGCTGAGTACCCAAGGGGAGCTCTCTCGGCAGAGTCTTGCAGAGGGACTCACAATCACCTGGAAGGAAAACTCTGAGAGAACCCCAGAAAGAAACTGACAATGGACCTGATTCCAAACTTCTCCATGGGAACATGGTTGTTTTTGGCTCTCAGCCTGGTGCTCTTGTATATGTGAGTAACTGTCCAGAATCTATTCCTCTGTAAGCTTGTATTTGGTGTACTGACTAGACTTCATTTTCCCTCAATGGTATGAGAATCTCAAAATAGTCATGAGGGAAAGTTGTTTCAATTCTTGAAAAAGTTACTATTTATCTTAATCAGATCTATTGATCATCCCCTCCCCAAGCCTCTGTTCTTGTGGCTAGGAGAGTTGTTCATGAGTCGTTCTTGGGAATGAATTTATTTATTTCCAGATTGAAATTAATGAACCACAATTCAGTAGATTCAGATTATAAACAACTAACCATTACATGCAGTAGAAGTATCATTCCTTTCCCAATCTCTAGTAATTCTGAAGGCTGGCTTGGGGTTTTCTGTCATTATCTTAATCTCATGTGTGTAACAAGACACGTATGAAGGTATTGTGCCCTATGGAAATGGGTTGTTCTTTTTTTTTTTTCAAATTTTATTTATTTATTTATTTATTAGAGAGAGAGAGAGAGAGAGAGAGAGAGAGAGAGAGAGAGAGTGTGGGGTGTGTGTGTGTGGCCAGCTCAGCCCACCAGGGGGCGGGGCTGGCTGGCATGTGGTGCTGGGGGATCGAACCGCGGTCCCTGATGCTTTGCTAAGCTTGTTCTAAGTAGGTGCTTTAGACCACTGAGCCATCTCTCCAGCCCGGAAATGGGTTGTTCTTGTTCCTTTCTTCCCATCCTTCTTAACATCATTTACACAACGCATAAAAAGTACTTCAGAGTTCATGGGGGGGGGGGCTCAGATCTCCTCATTTGTTTTCTGAGATGATGTCATAACTCTCTATGTTCCTAAAAGTATTCCGCCAGCCTCAAGGTGGAGTACTATTTATTTTTTCTTGATAATTCTCAGGGTTAAGGAGAAATGGAAGATATCTTGAAATTGCATTCCTTTTTTTTTTTTTAAAGCTTTTTCTTCCAGTATCTGGCCATTTAATATCAGTATAGGGATTTATTTTTTCCTAATATGAAATAAGTTAGGAACCTGCTAAACCAGTTTGGATTTTAAGTTTTTTTTTCCTCTTATTTCTAGTCTAGGAGGATGAATTGAAATTTCTTAGTGGTGGAATATCTCTCAGTGATGAAATACTTGACATTTTGGGACAGATGGAGATTGACGTTATTTGTATATGTGGATAAGATTGCACCCCAGGGTCATATTTGATGATGATCTCAATTTCAATTCAATAAAGAGTAGTAAATCTTGATTATGTGCGAATAAGAAACACAAGTTTGATTAAAGAAGTAACTGATATTGAAGACAACAATGTACAATATAATAACCACTGTTGAATATCTATAACTTTGTTTTTTGAAATTTTGTATCATTTCAAATGTCTTATCTATTATTTTTCTATTCTGTTTAAAAAAGAACTTGATTGTAAAACAGGGATATTACTTAATGGAAAAGAAAAAAAATACAAGAACATTATTATGACAGGCCAGCGATGTGAAATTTTCCAAAAACAACACATACACCATAGGTTTGCAGCCACTGTAATAAGCTATTCATGACTGTATGATTGAGTGAATGAAGTTATGGAAAATCACATCAGTGGAAGAGAACACAAGCCATACTCCTCCCTGCTGCCTCAGTTGAAAATTCTTACTTTAACAAAGAGTCAATGTTTAAGATTGAGATAATAAAATAAAATGCCATGGAAGAAGTCTGGCTTGAATCATATGAGCACTCAAGTTGAGGGATGTTTGTCAAGTATTTTTTTTCTAGGGGAGCATGAAGACTTTTTCCATTGTTAGCTAACTATTGTGAATTGTCAGATATCTCTTAACAAAGACAGGGCAGCGGAAAACTGAATGTAATTACTATTGTTGGGTTTTGTTGTTATTTATTTTCTACATGCTGCCTTTCTGGCTTGATAGTTTCAATTCCTGAGTCAATGACTGGCCAGCTCCCATGTGTATAAAATTATAAGCTCTGTAACCTGATTACTTTCTTGTTTACTTTGTAGCTATGGGTCCTATTCACATGGATTCTTTAAGAAGCTGGGAATTCCTGGGCCAACACCTCTGCCTTTCTTTGGAACTATGTTGGAATACTCAAAGGTGAATACTGTTAAAGCTTCTGTTTCTTAGCTTCTGGTTTAAAGACCAGCCTAGTTCCTTTAGTAGAAATGCTCCTCTTTGGGAAGAACTTCTGTGAATTCAGGCTTTCAGAAACTGTGTGCTCCCTACCATCCCCCACAGGAAGGGTGGAGTTTTCCTGGGGCTCTGTTGTCAACTCTTTGGAGCCTTTGTTGCATATCCCAGATGTCTGGCACATTAGTCCTTGATGCTCAGATCAAAGTGTTGAGATTTTGTGAGCATTAAAGCAATTTTTTTTTGTGCAGTGCAGGTTCAGGAAGATACAGTTATATTTAATACTTGAAGAAAAAAATTCTATACATTTTTTCTCCATCAGAAAAAAACTGATTTTTTCTAAAACTTTCACTGATCAACTTTTTAGAATTAATTATCTTTGGATCTAGATTTCTGGAAACTTTTTTCTGCTTAATTAGAGTTCACATACGAAATGGCACCAAAATGTAATTTTAAGTTTCACAAGTGAAAACCCCAAGTAGACATTCAATTTACCATGTCCTATATGAGGAGGTGTCATCTCATGAGTCCATCTTTTCATTTCTTACTTGGTCTCTTTTCCATTCAAGGAAATCACAGCAAATTCCATATATCTGATAAAGTGCAGAGGTCACTGGTGTTTTAATTTTCCTGATTTTACAGAAATCTAGTTATAAGTCATAAGATAAAATAAAAAATATGCTGGGCCAAAAGTACTTGCAGTATATTGAGATAATTATTTTTTGCTCATCTTTGATTTTATCATATGTCTGGGAGGGAATAATTTATTCATTGGTAAGAATTTAGAGATAACACATACAGAAGCAAAAGCAATTCTTGTTGAAGTTGCAGCATTAGGGTATTTATTTGTTCCAGTTCTGTTTTCCTAATGTGTGAGTTCACAGTTATGAATTTCTCTCTGAGAACTGCTTTCATCGTATCCCATAAATTCTGATAAGTTGTGCTTGAATTTTAATTGAATTGCAGATATTGTTGAATTTCTTGTTTAATTTTATCTGTCACCCATTGGTTGCTTTGTAGGGGGTCATTTAATTTCCATGTATTTAGGGTTTTTTCTGGTTTCCTTTGTCATTTATTTCCAGTTTCATTGCACTGTGTTCAGATAATGTGCATGGGATAATTTCAGTTTTCTTACATATACTTAAGCATGACCTATGGACCAGTATGTGGTCTATTTTAGAAAATGACCCATGTGCAGCTGAGAAAAATGTATATTCAGCTGTGTTTGGATGGAACACTCCGTATATCTCCACCAAGTCCTTTTCTTTCAAACTCTGGTTCAGTTCTGTTATTTCTTTGCTAAGTTTTTGTCTGGTTGACCTATCTTTTGGGGATAAAGGGGTGTTAAGGTCTCCTGTCAAGATTGTGGTATTGGATATTAGATTTTTCATGTCCATTAAGGTTTGCTTTATATATTTGGGTGCCCCCATATTTGGTTCATACATATTTATGTTGTAACTTCTTCCTCTTGAATTTTTCCCCTAACCAGTATATAGTGGCCTTCTTTATTCACTTCATCATTGTTGGTTTGAAGTTGAGACTCTCTGAAATAGGATTGCTACCCTTTCTTTTTTCTGAGGTGCTGGTGAGTGTAATATTGTGTTCCATCCTTTGACTTTCAGCCTAAGAATGTCTTTATGAGTTAAATGTGTTTCTTGTATACAGCATATTGTTGGATTTTGTTTCCTAACCCACTCTGCCAGTCTATTTCTCTTAATTGGTGAATTGAGCCCATTTACATTGATAATTAAAATTGAGATGTATTGACTGATGATTGACATGTTATTTACCTGTTGTCGTTTACTCCTTTTTTCTCCTGTGTTTAATTGCTTGCTCTATTTAGTTCATTGCATCTGATCTCATTTGTCGAGTTCTGATAATTTTGATCTCTCTAGACCATCTTTCAGTAGCCTGTGTGAGATTGGCTTTGTCATCATGAAATTCTTTAGTTGTTCTTTGTCATGGAAGTATTTTCCTTCTCCATCCAACTTGAAAGAGAGTTTTGCAAGGTATAGTAGTTTGGACTGGAAGTTATTTTCATAGAGGACTTGAAGTACTCTGATCTATGCTCTTCTTGCCTTCATGGTTTTTGAAGAGAAGTCGGCCATAATTCTGATGGGTTTTTCTTTGAATGTGATCTGCTTCTTTTCTCTAGTGGCTTTCAGTATATTATCCTTGTGGTGAGTTTCTGGGATTTGACTACTATGTGTCTCTGTGTGTTTTTAATTGGGTTGAGGTTACTTGGAGTTCTGTATACTTCAGTTACCTGAATGTCATATTGTTTCCTCATATTAGGGAAGTTTGGTGCTATTACTTCTGCCCATATGTTTTTTGATGTCATTTTTATTGACTCCTTTTTTCTCATTGATGCTGATCAGTCTCACATTGTTCATCTTTGTATCATCTTGCAGGTGATGGATTATTTTTTCCTGCATCCTATTTGTTTTTAAGAGATCCTTTCTTAACTTTTCAATAGCTGCACCAACATCTTCAAGATCTGAAACTCTGTCTTCACTTTCACTTAAATGGTTTTGCAAGCTTGTGATTGAGGTTTTAATTTCCTCTATATCTCTTTTACTCTGCTTCATGAGATCTATTTCTTTCCTGGATTGCTCATTCAAGAAATCCGTCATTTTTCTAATCTCCTCTTTTTTTTTTTAAAATCAATGTCTTCTTTAGGAGCAGTTATTAATTGTTTTACTGAAATGTTTTTTTTTTCAGATTGGGTTTCCTCCCTATGTTTCTGTAGTTGATTCTTTACTTCAGATGCTATGAGCTCCGAGAATTCTTTTCTTATTTCAGAAAATTCTGCTCTGAGTTTCTCTTTAACTTTCTGCTGTTGCTTATTTAGTATCGACGCTATTAATTCATACATTTGAGCTGAACTAGTGTCCTCTGCCTTTGTTCTGCGTGGGCATTGGCTTTCCTCTGTATGTTCCTGCATTTGATTCTTTACTGTATATGTCATTAATTTAGGGATTTCTTTTTTCACTTGAAATTTGAGTTTCTCTATACTTTTCTGCAGCTGTTTCCTTATTTCAGAATCTGTTGATTCATTGCTTTCAGCTGTGTGATTCCCAATTTGTTCTGTGTTATTGTCCTCTGCACTTGTTATATGTGGGCTTGGGTTCTGAGATTGCATTTTGCTCCTTCTCATTGTCATTTTGTGTAGCACTGTCTTCTGACCTTTGTTGTAGGTCTTTGGTGCAGTTACAATCTTAGCACCTACTAAAGTTCAAGTGCAGATCTACAATATTTGGACTTATCCAGTTGGTTCTGGCTTGGGTCTGGCTGCTGTGCTCAGCTCCTTCCTGCTGCTGCCCTAGGAGTTAAACCTGTTGTGCCCCTCTGGCAAAATGTTCTTCTCCTGGAGTAGCTGGGTGGTTCTGTCCCCTGCACTCTCTGCAGGGGTTGCAGTTGCAGGTTTTCACCCAGGCCTGTATGCCAGGCCTGAGCTGAGTCTGTAGGGGACAAGATGGAGTAGGTTGGAGAGGCCGCTCTCCCACACACTCACTCAGCCTGTTCTAGGACTGATCTTTGGGTTCCAGGAAGGTGACAGAAATTCCTACTCTGTGGGTGGGTGGGGATGCTACTACAGAGTGGTGGGTGGTGTCTCAAGGGGGTGAAAGACGGTTTCACCCCCACTGGTCCCAGGCTGGGATCGGTAGCTCCCGCTGGTACAGCGTAGCTGGAAGCTGTCTCACATACTCGCCGGGCCTGGGCTAAGACTGGATCTCCATGTGCAAAAGCGATTCTTACAGACAAGGAGTTACTTAATATTCACCAACAAAGATACTTCTTTCGACCTGTACAACACCCGAGAAAATTCAAGAGTGACTTTAATTCCTCATTTCAGATGTCTCCTCTATTTTACCTCTTTTTTCTTCAGATATTTCAGAATAAGTGTATCTTTGTAGCTTCCGCTGAGTGGATAGTAAGCCTGGATTAATGGGATTCTAGTCATTTGTTACCCATTTAGAGATGGGGTCAGCACATTTAGAACCATAATGAACTTACACTTTTTCTATTCCCAGGGTGTGTGGAAATTTGACATAGAGTGCCATAAAAAGTATGGAAAAATGTGGGGGTGAGTATTTTGGAAACTTTCATTTGGTAGACCTGTTGGAATGAGACACTCATTGTATGAAAGCAGTATGTCTCTATAGCTCTTTGGATGCAACTGTATATTATGAAGCTTGTCCTGTTGGGGTCACATACATCACCAAGCTCATAGCTTGAACTGGGCTGAAATATTGTATATTATGCCTTTCTGCAATCTTTAATGATTCAGAAAAACTTTCACCTTCTTTGCAGTGTCTGGCCTTTTTCCTCTCTCCCATTTACCCTTTCTTAGTTCTTATTTAATTATATTAGAAAAACTAAGGTGGGGAAAAGGGGAAAGGAAGGAATAAAAAGAATGATAAAAAGTATAAAATATATAGGGCCGGGGAGATGGTTCAGTAGAATAAGCGCTTCCCTGGCAAGTGTAAGGGCCTGAGTTCAATCCCCGGTTCCACCAAAAATAAATAAATAAATAAACTAAAATAAAAAAATAAAAAGGTGAAAAAAAATTAAAAAAAAGTATAAAATATAAACAAAGCTTTTTAAATAAACTGGGGAAGGTGAGTTGGAGGATTGGAGATTGCAAACAAATAGGAACAAATATATATCAGGCACAGGTACAAATTCTCTATAATGATATGATCATTATGTATGTCTAAAATATACCAATAAGGGTTATTATATAAAAATTATACAAGATGATTTATTTCAGGTTGTGATTTATATGTTCATTATGTTTTTCTTTATTTTTGCTTATGTTTATGTGTATCACATTACTTTCTTCTTACATTTATTCAGTAATAAAATGTAATGTTCCAAAAATTTAAAATTTAATATTGGCTGAGGAAACCTGGTTGGGATTATAGGTAAACAGATTGGGAAGTAATACTTGCTCAACTTCTTTTCTATTTATTGTCAATGTGCACAGACTTTTGGGTATTTTTTTTCTTTTTCATTTTTTGGGACCATGTCTTGGTACAGAGTTCAGGCTGGCCTTGAGTTCGCTTTGCAGCAAAATATTGTCTCAAATTCACAGCATTTCTCCTACTTTAGCCTCCCAATAGCTGGTATTACAGGCATGTGTATCACCACACTTGGCTTATATGACATATTTTAAATGTGTGTTCCCATGTGGATTTATGTTCTTTGTGATTTTTGGGAGGCCTGAACCACCTGAAGTAGCATTTCTCCTTGAGAGCTGAAAGACAGCAATGAAAGAAGTATAATCGTGTGTTTTTGTGATTAAGCGAATCCATGTGGGAGATGATTTTGTCTCTTCTAACCTCTCCATCTTTTCTCACTGGTCCCTAGGAAGCACTCGATTGCCCACAGTGTGGTGAGATGGCATGGCCCCAAAAGGCAACTGTGTCTGTCGAAATGGCTTACAGCACTGTGTCTCCACTGGTCCAACTACAAACATCTTGCCAAGATTTAGTATTATGAGCACTTGAGAGTTTGTTTTTAACTTTTCTATGGACTTGATATTATTTTATGATACTAAAATATTTTTTAAATTTTGTTTCAAAGAAAATAAAGATATTGCACTATTTTAAAACATCATGGTTACTTTGGTGAATGGTACAGGCAACAATTTTTTATGTGCCAGCTAAAAATTAACAAGTTCCAAGTCATTTTCACCTATGCTCTTTTTGAAGAGATAGTTTCTAGTGTATCTCCCCACCCTGAGTTATATTATTTTATGAAGACTCTAGTGCCTTCTATGGTCAGAATCCTCCTGCATATCATATTCTGTAGGTTTTAAAGTCACTGTGTGTTGAACAATAGGTAGCAGGTTATCTAATGTTAGAATTAGAGACTAGATTGCTGGAATGGCTTCAGAAGCAGGATCTGAATTGTTTAGTTTAACCAGCTGTGTTTTCCCATTACAGGTTGTTTGATGGTAATCAGCCTCTGTTGGCTATCACAGACCCAGAAATAATTAAAACAGTGCTTGTGAAAGAATGCTATTCTACCTTCACAAACCGACGGGTAGGCATCTATTTCTTAAAAAGTGAATTTTTGTACAATATTATTTAAATTTTTATCTTCAAGTAGTTAGAGATTCACAGTAAGTGTCAAAACAAGCTATAATACTTACATTTGGTATTTTTTGCTAACTACATTTTCTTGTATAAGTATACAAATAGCATAATCCTCTGAATAGAATGACAAGAAATGTACATTTTACAATCCACAGAGCATATTTACATTTCCCGATTCTGTGCCCTCTAGTGTATCTGTGTATGCAGTGTGTGTGTACATGCATGTGTGCCTGTGCGTGTATGTGTGTAATAGCCAGTATAATTAAGAAAATGCCTGTCTCTTTATCACAAATACTCATTGTTATCTTTCATAGCTACTTTGTGTAGGTTGTTTTTTAATTTTTTTCCCATAATTTTACTGATAAACAGCAATGAGACAGTTTCAAATCAAATTGGTAGGACAGTTTCAATAATCAACACATTGCATACATTCTTCTCAGTGGTTGATTGCTGTACAAGATGTGGATATGATATCCAATTTAAAGACACCATCACAACAAATCATTCTATTCATTAAGAGGATGTAACTATATGTCTATCCTAACCACTTTGAATGCACAGATAAAAAATGGATATTCACCTGTATCCTCTTTTTTTGTTAAGTTCCGTTATTTGAATATTATAGGTGTGCAAACTCAGCAAAATATTCTAAAAGAGTCAAGCAGCCCATAATAGTATTGGGTCTTCTGCTGACTAGCAATGTCAGAAATTGACATGAGTGCCCTACAGCTCAACATAATAGCATGGCTTTACTTCCTATATTTCATTTTTATACTTTTCTGCTGGATGGTTAAGATCAAGGTAAAGCAGGACCTATGCAACAAGAGTTGTAACTTTTGGATCTGATAAGGTCAGTGAAATCCCCTCAGGAGATATCCTGAGATCCTGTACCTCAAACTGTAGAACTTTGTCCGTGTCACCCATTAGGATGAATCATGACCATTGCTTGGCCAATGTGCTCTCTCTGAAAACCTGAGAGAATATTTTCTCTCCATGTGACTCTCCTTAGGCACACTCTACATCATTGATCATTTTCCTCTTTGGCCCCATAATCTCCTTAATAAGAAAATTTGGGACACTACCGAGTTACATGACATTACAGTACAAGTTCTCATATGTCCTGAGTCTTAATTGACCTTAGAAGGCTAGGGCCAAAATGTTGACTTTCCTTGCTGCCCTCCTTTCTTTCTAATTTTGGTCTGCAAACTTAGGTTGTTAACCATCCACAAGACAAGCTTATTGTTATTACCATACAACTTAGGCTGTTAAGCTTAACCTCAATATCTGTCTGCATATCAAACATCTTAGGCATAATATGGAACAGGAGTTTTTCATCAAGTATTGATATGTTGAACTTTAAGTCCCTACAAAATATGATGAAAAACATTTAAAAATTAGAATATATTGTAAAAATAGGCATAAAGAATTATATACTTCTCATGTTTGCTCATAAGTCCAAAAATCTCACCATATACAACCTTGAAGCAGGACAGTCCCACAATATTCCTTTTCCTGTCTCTTGCTTTCTTTCACCACCCCCTTCTTCTTGAACAACCATCTACCAGAGAGACAGCATAGCAGCAACGGGCATGTCATGACAAGTAGCCCATATTCAGTAGATCAGAATGACAGGCACACCAAGCATGAAACTACTATTACAAATTACCATCTGCAGTGCAGTAGCTTAGTTCACAGGTATCAGCATATATAGTTAGTCAGTGTGAGAATCTTTGAAATATCTGTTAGTCTAAAAATCTTCTGAAGATTCTCAGGATCATTGCCTTTTCCATCTTCTACATATAACTGTATGGTTTGACATTGTCATGTTTCCTAGCTCTTCTCCTTTCCCTCTCTTGATTAGTTAAGTCCTTGAGATCCTGCTTTCCTTTTACTTGTAGTATATCTTTCTATTTGTATTTCTTCTTTTGAGTCCTTATACTAGGGAGACTATATGATATTTTCACATGTGTGTCTGGTTTATTTCACTTATGAGTATATGTTCAAGTGGCATCCACTTCAATATAAAGGCTTGCAGTTTATCATCCTTAATAGCTGAATAATACTCCATTGTGTAAAAATACCACATCTTTTTGAACCATTCCTCAAGTTATGGGCATCTTGTTTGTTTGCAAGATTTGGCTATCACACATGGTGCTACTATAAAGTTAGGCCCACATATATCACTATGGTGATATGATGATTTCAGATCCTCTTGGAAAATTCCAGTAGAGGAATACTGGTTTAAATGGGATATTCAGTCCAACTTTTCTAAGGAGTCTCCATACTCATTTCCATAATGGTTGCACCAGTCTACATTCCCACCAGCAGTGGAGAAGGGTTCCTTTTCCTCACACCCTCTCCAACATTTGTTGTTGGGTGATTTCTTTATGATAGCCATTCTTTGTGGGGTGAGATGATATCTCTATGTGGTGTTAATTTGCATTTCACGAATGACTAGTTATGTGGAGCATTTTTTCATATATTTATTCGCTTCCTTAATTTCTTCCTCTGAGAAGTATGTGTTCATCTCGGATGCCCATTTCTGGATCAGGTCTTTAAATTATGAAGACCTAGTGTTTTTTAGTTCTTTCTAGATTCTAGAGAGTAGACCTTTGAGTACTTATTTGTCATGATTTTTTCCAAATTTGTAGGTTGCCTTTTCCCTTTGTTGGTAATTTCTTTTGACGTGAAAAAACTTCTCAGTAAGAGCAGGTCCCAGTTGTTAATTCTTTCAACTGTTTTCTGTGCGATTTGATTTCTGTCCATGAACTCTTTGCGTAGCCCTATGTCTTGAAGAGTTCCTCCTACTTTCCCTTCCAGGAGATTTAGTGTCTCTGCCTTAATGTTTAGATCTTTAATCCATTTTGACTTTAGTTAAGTGCATGGTGATAGACCTGGTTCAAATTTGAGTTTTTGGCAGGTAGAGAGCCAGTTTTTCCAGCACCATTTGTTAAAGAGGGTGTCTTTCTTCCAGTGAGTATATTTGGCCCTTTTGTCAAAGATAAGGTGGCTGAGTGTGCTCGTAGTGACTTCAGGATCTTGTAATCTTTTCCATTGATCCTCAGGTGTATTTTGATGCCAGTACCATGCTGATTTTATCACATTAGCCTTGTAGTATAATTTCAAGTCAGGAATTGTCATGCCTCCTGCCTTGTCTTTATTGCCCAGAACTACCTTTGCTATTCTAGGTCTTTTCTCACTCCAGTTAAATTTTAGGAATCATTTTTCTATGTCTATGAGGTATGTCGGTGGTTGTGTGATAGGGATTGCATTTAAATTGTACAGTAATTTTGGTAGTATGGCCATCTTCACAATGTTGGTTGTTCCTATCCAGGAGCATGGAATATCTTTCCATTTTCTGAAATCCTCTACGATCTCTTTTTTCAGAGTACTGTAATTTTCCTTGAAAAGATCTTGACTTCTTTACTTAGATTAATTCCAAGGTATTTAATTTTCCTCAGTGCTATTGTAAAAGGTATTGTTTCTATAATATCCCTCTCAGTGTGTTTCTTGACTGTCTAGAGGAATGCCATTGACTTTTGGGTATTGACTTTGTAACCTACTATGCAACTGAATTTCTGTATTAATTCTAGAAAGTTCTTGGTCGAGATTTTTGGGTCTTGCAAGTAAAGTATCATATCATCTGCAAATAAAGATAATTTAATGTCTTCTTTTCCTATCCTTATTCCTTTTATTTCTTTCTCTTGAGTAATGGATGTAGCTAATGATTCCAGAACTATATTGAATAAGAGTGGTGAGAGAGCACATACTTGTCTTGTATGAGTTCTAAGAGTAAACGATTTCAGTTTTTCCCTATTAAGGATTATGTTAGCCGTTAGATTTTCATAAATAGCTTTTACCAGATTGAAGTAGAGAGCATCTAGTGCAATTTTCTGTAGGACTTTGAACATGAATGAGTGTTGGGCTTTGTCAAAAGCCTTTTCTGCATCAATGGAGATGATCATGTGGTTTTTAGTTTTCGCTCTATTGATATAGTGTATTACATTTGTAGATTTTTGAATATTTAACCACCCTTGCATCCCTGGGATGAATCCTACCTGGTCATGGTGTATGATCTTCTTGATAATTCCCTGTATTCTATTTGCTAGTAGTTTATTGAGGATTTTGGCATCTATGTTCATGAGGGAAATTGGTCTGTACTTCTCTTTCTTAGTTGCATGTTTCCCTGGTTTTGGTATCAGTATAATATTTGTCTAAAGGAATGATTTTTTGAGAATTGCTTCCTTTTCAATTTCATGGAAGAGTTTGAGAAGTATAGGGACTATATCTTCTATAAATGTTTTGTAGAATTCAGTTGTGAATCCATCCGGACCAGGACTTTCTTTGCCGTTAGCTTTATAATCACATCTCGTATTTCCTTGGCTGTTGTTGGGCTGTTGAGAGTGGTTGTGTATTGTTGATTCAGTTGTGGTAATTTGTACCTTTCGCGGTATCTGTCCATTTCTTCTTGTCTTCTATTCTGTGAGAGTAAAGATTGTTAAAGTAGCTATATTTAATATTCTGAATTTCCACTGGGCCTGTGGTAATTACACCCTTTTCATCCTTATTGCTTGCATTTGAATTTTTTCTTTCCTCTTTTTGATGATGTTAGTTAGGTGCTTATCGATTTTATTTAATCTTTCAAAGATCCAGCTTTTTGCTTTTTTAATTCTTTGAATTCTTTTCCTCTTCTCAATTGATTTAATTTCTGCTGTAATATTTATGATTTCCTCCTGTCTTTGGGGTCTGGGTTTGGTTTGCTCTTCCTTTTCTAATTGTTGAAGGTGCAGCATTAGGGTATTTATTTGTTCCCATTCTGTTTTCCTAATGTGTGAGTTTGCAGCTATGAATTTCCCTCTGACAACTTCTTTCATCGTATCGCATGAATTCTGATAAGTTGTGATTGAATTATCATTGAGTTGAGGATATTGCTGAATTTCTTGTTTA